AGAGAAAAGAAAGATAAGAGAAAAGAGAAAGAAAAAGAGAAAGAGAAGAGAGAGAAGAGAAAGATGAGAAAGAGAAGAGAAGAGAAGAAAAAAAGAAAAAGAGAAGAGAAAGAGGAGAGAAGAGAAAGAAAAGAGAAAGAAAAAAGAAAAGAGAAGAGAAAGAAGAGAAAAAAGAGAAGAGAAAGAAAGAGAATAGAAAAGGAGAGGAGAGGAGAAAAGAAAGGAGAAAAAGAAAAAGAAGAAAGAGAGAAAGAGAAAAGAAAGAGAATAGAAAGTGAGAAAGAAGAAGAGAGGAGAAAGAGAAGAAGAACGTGAAGCTTCCTGATCAATCACGGACCTTCCTTCGCCCCACTTCACTCACAAAGTTGTGTGGTTGTGTATGGAAAAGCGGAAGAGGAGGAAACGCAACACACCACCTTCAGCAGCCAATCTCAAGGAAAGACGGGATTTTAATCTGACGAATAAATACAGAGATTTAATTCCAATCAGCGTTTTTGGGCAAGGGCTTGGAGTTGGACGAAGGCGGTTTTCCTTGCGGGATGTGGGTGTGAGTCTCGGGACAGCGGTGAAGAGAGAGGGGTTAGTCATGTCCAGGTAGTCCTCGACTTACAACGGTTCGTTTAGCGACCGTTCGAAGGGATGACGGCCCTGGGGGGGGGGGGGAAAGGGGGCCGTTTTTCAGAGTTAATCCGACCTTGGTTAGCATCCTCACAAGATCAAACTTGGACGACGTTTTAGACTTTGTGGACTTTCAACTCCCAGAATTCCCCAGCCAGCCATGGGGAGGGAATATGTAAAGAAGCCATTTCTTGTTTTTCTTTGCAGCCGTTAGAAACCTAGTTAATATTCTTCAGATTTCCAAAATGGGAGCTCTTTTTTAAAGCAGTACATCTCAAAATCGCCCATTCATTTTTTCTCCCGGTTTTGACAAAAAGTTCCCAAACTTTTATTTAAAAAATAAATTTTTTTGTTCTTTTTGCAAATCGGCCCAGTCTGCCCAACCTCAATGTTTGCCATTTCTACCCCCCTCTTTCTTCACAATCCCCTCATCCATGATTGTGTATTTCTGCATTTTTCTTCCGCCTTGATGCGTTCTTTTTTTTAAAAAAAAAAATATTCTTTAAAATCAACAATACAAAACTCTCGTTTCTATTAACAGTACCTGGGTTCTAACGCCAAGGAGACAGAGGCTTAAAATTGGGATCAATAAATAAAATAATAGACTCGCCACGCTTCCCACAGGGAAAACTGTTCCGCAAATGAAAGCTGAATGCCTTTGAATCTAATCTGAAAAGAGGTCGTTCAGTTTGGGGGGAGAAAAATAATATTTTGGGAGCAAAAAGAAGGGAAGGAATTTTGCAATTGCTTTGGCTTTTGCTTCAAAATGCAAAGAGAAGAGAAACTTGGATTGGTTTCTAGGAAGGAGTGGTACAAATAGAAGTAAATTTTCTTTTTTTTATTTAATCGCCTCACTCTCCTTTTTTCCCCCCCCTCCTTCTAAGGATCCGGGCATAATTCAACACTGGCCGAATACATATAATCCTTTTGATCATTCAGGGGGGGGGGTGAGTCGATTGCTCGTGTGATTGAAATTGAGATGATTGGCAACTGACTCATACTTACGACGGGCTGCATTTTGACGAGCCAAGTCAAAGGGGAAAACCAGATTCACGTAACAACTTCTGGAACGGGAGGGATTCTCTTTAAACACCCGTGGCAAGAAAAGGGTCATAGAATGGGACGGGGCCAATGTCTCGCTGTGCAACAGACGTCTTGAGACTCCGTTGTGGTCGGAAGTCGAGGATTACCTCTACAAGGGCTACAGAGCCACCTCGGCCCTATGGAGGGGGGTCTTCATCCAAAGCCCCCTTTTCCTACCAAGACATTTCCAACGTTCGTGGGTCCAAGCAGCCTTCCAAAAGTCCAGCCGTACCCCCATCCCGTCCCAAATATTTCAATGTATTGGCTGCATATCCTCAGAAAAAAGCCCCTTTCACATGAGACGGCATTGCCCCAGGCGTGGGAAAGACTGCGCTGGGCTCTGGAGGCTTGTTGGCCAGGAGTCAAAATCGATCCCGCTGGGGAGGTTGGGAGGGACTACTGGCCAGGCCGCGGCGTTGGGTTGCACGATGCTCCGGAGGTCTCGGGGCAGCAGCGGAGGTTTTGCCCCTGCGGCTCCCCGCTGCTTTTCGTCGGCCGGGTTCTGAGAGAAGGAGGAGGAGAAAGAGAAAGGTCAGAAACGTCAGCCGGAATAGAGCGGGGAAGGGAGCTTGGAAGATCTTCTAGTCCAGCCCCCGCTGCTCAAGTAGGAAACCCTACTTTCGGACAAAAGGCTGTCCAATCTCTTCTTAAAAACCTCCCAGTGACGGGGAAGGCAGGCAGGCAGGCAGGAAGAAAGGAAAGAAGGAAAGTTGCAAAAGGGGATCACGTAACTCCGGGACACTTCAACCGTCATAAATATGAGTCAAGTGTCTGAATTTGGATCGTGTGAGTGCGGGGGAGGCTGCAGCGGTCGTTTAAGTGAGAAAAAAGTCACTTTTTTTCAGCGCCGTTTTGACTTCGGCCTCTAAACGAACGGTTGTTACGTCGAGGAGTGGGCTGTGTTTTATTCATCTGGGCGTAATTGGAGGACTACCTCGAATTTGCATTGGGAAAAGCCGGTCCAGAAGGCAAAATAAAAAATAAAAAAAAAATCTCACCTTTGGGAGGTTGTATTTCTCCCGCAAATGAGCTCTGAGAGAAGCACGCTGGGTTTTCTGTCGGGCAAAAGCTGCATCTCGTTCGGCCCTGGCAAAGGAAGACGAAGAGAACGGGGTTTCAGAAAGAAGATGATAGAGTTGGAAGGGACCTTGTAGGTCATCTAGTCCAACCCCCTCCCCCAGCCAAGCGGGAGACCCTGCACCATTTCTGACAAATGGCAGTCCAATCTCTTCTTGAAAGCCTCCAGTGATGAAGCTCCCACAACTTCTGAGGGCAACTTCTGTTCCGTGGGTTGATTGTTCTCACTATCAGAATGTTTCTCCTTATTTCCAGGTTGAATCTCTCCTTGTTCAGTTTCCATCCATTATTCCTTGTCTGGCCTTCGGGGGCTTTGAAAAACAGCTTGACCCCTTCCTCCTCTCTGGGGCAGCCCCTCAAATATTGGAAGGCTGCTCTCCTGTCTCCCCTGGTCCTTCTCTTCCCTAGACTAGCCAGGCCCAGTTCCTGCAACCGTCCGTCGTATGTTTGAGCCTCCAGTCCCCTCATCCTCCTGGTTGCTCTTCTCTGCATACTTTCTAGTACCTTTCCTATTTCCATCTATTTTATTATCTACCTATCTACCTACCTACCTACCGTCCTTTCCATCTATCCATCCATCCATCCATCTCAACTACTTACAAAGCAATTTAGCTGTTCTGTTTCAAACAGTTTGCTTGGCTGACTCCTGTCTCTTCCCAAAGGAGAACTTCTGCACCACACTTACTTCTTCTTCTTTTTTTGTAAGTTTTATTTGAGTTTTCACAAAAGGAAAAGAAATACAAATAAAACATCTTTTTTGAAAGCAGCATAATCCCGGGTTACATCTCTTCGTACAGACACAAATTCAGGTTCATGCTCATTTTTATATTCCATTCCATATCTTATTACTATTCGACATTTTCTACATAGATTCTCCCCTCTTTTAACTTTCTTAATTTAATTTTATTTTATTTCATCTCAATTCAAATCATTGCACTTATATTCTTTGTCTGTCCTGTTTCAGCTGTCTACTATCTACTATCTGTCTACTATCTACTATGGTCAATGTCTGGAATACTCTACCCGACTCTGTAGTTTCTTCCCCAAACCCCAAAAACTTTAACCTTAGACTGTCTACTATTGACCTCACCCCTTTCCTAAGAGGTCTGTAGGGGGCGTGCATAAGCGCACCAATGTGCCTACCGTCCCTGTCCTATTGTTTCTCTTATTCTTTTATTTTTCTTATATGTACCCATTTCATGTATTCACAACTATGTATACACTTATACTTATTATCTTGTAAACAATTGGCAAATCAAATAAATAAATATCTTTTCTCACTAAACAAAATTTCTCCTGTAATCACTCATTGGAGTATGACGCCTTTATATCTTTCCCCTAAAATTATAACACTTAATACATAACTTCCATTCGGATTCTGCTTGGTACATTCTAAAACTACACACTATATTTTTAAAAAGAGAAAAAATTATAAATATATAATTAAAACAACAATCCATTCCAATTCAATTCTACCATTATTAATATTAATATTCATTTAAATCTTAACATTTTACACATTACTTTTCAAATAAATGCCATACTTCTATGGGAACAACGCACCACACTTACTTCTGTCTTGGGTGGCTCTGTAGCTTGACTGGCTCCCAGCTGTGGCTTCTCTGGACGCCCATGTCTTTGTCCTTGGCGGAATCCGCCGAGAAGCCGCACAGCAGTTGTTTGACTGTGTCCCCCAACCCTGATCTCATGGTTCAAGACAGGAGCCGAGTGGAGAAAGAGGCTGTTTGGCAACCGGGACTGAAAAAGCAACGTAAAGCAGCTCCGTAAAAGAGGCATCCAACACTTTCTCCCTCCATCACAACCGCGCAAAGCCTACACCCCAACCGATACTCTCATTTTTCCATAAAAAACGAGGGACTCACAAAGAGGTAAATCCTCCAGTAGTTCAGCTTCTCTTGGCGTAGGAGACAGATCTTCACTCTCCCAGCGTGGCCAAAGGGTGATTAAAAAATATCTCGTCTGCTCAAGATCTTTTAAGTGGAGATCAGGGGGAGACCAGGATTTCTTTGATCCACTTGTGTGACAGCTGGCGAGACTCGGGGGACAGATGGTACGGTGAGTGGAGCTGTTGGGAAGGTAGCTCGTGCCCTTGTCTGGAGGACAAACAGCTTCAGGTATTCAGTCTTTCTCAGATAAAACAGCAAGGTGCTAGTCCTCAATGGATTTGGGCCCAAGAGAACCAGGGCTAAAAGCAGATCCCAAACTAGCTTATTTTTATTTTTTAGGGTTGAGAGTCAGTCTGCAACTTCTTGTGGTACCTTAAGGACAAATAGATGTACTGGAGGTAGGAGGAAGGGAGGCCGTTTGGGTTAAGGCATGAAGGCTAGCAACCGGGAGACGGGGAGTTCTAGTCCTGCCTCAGATGACCTTTGGGCCAGCCACTTTCTGTCAGCTCTAAGGAGGAGACAATGGCAGACCTCTTTCTGAAAAACCTGGTCGAGAAAACTGCAGGGATTTGCCCAGGCAGACGCCGAAGATCTGACAAGATTGAAAAGAAAGGAGAGAGAGAGAGAAAGAGAGAGAGAAATACACAGAGAAAAAAATTAGATAATTAGATGAATAATAGAGATGGATAGATAGGAGATAGATAGCTAGATATGGATAACAGATAATACATGATAGACAGATAGATAAAATAGATTAGATGGATAATAGATAATATGTGATAGATATAGATTAGATGGATAATATAGATAGATAGATAGATAGATAGATAGATAGATAGATAGATAGATAGATAGAGATAGATAAAATAGATTAGATGGATAATAGATAATATGTGATAGATATAGATTAGATGGATAATAGATAATAGATATAGATTAGATGGATAATAATGATAGATAGATATAGTGATAGATAAGATAGATTAGATGGATAATAGATAATATGTGAT